GATACTAAACTGTATTTGCTGACACCGAAACACAAATGACATAGGGTACTGCTTGGCAAACACTGAAGTAGACAGTCATGTAAAAGCACCATGGTGCCTTATTTAGTCTGATAGCTCAAACCTCATAGGCCTCAAAAGGTTCTGATTCTGGAAAGCAGAGGAAGGAGCCACGTGGGGCATAGCCTGCTCTGTATCAAGGAATGGGCCTTGTTTTTCCTTTTTAAACTTCAACGCTGTGTTACCCAAGATGCTTTGTATTCCAGGAACTACTGTTCCTAATCCGGTGCCTTTTCCTGTGTCCAGCTTCTCGGGGACACACAGTGACAGCTTATCACTGTCTAGGTAGACACTGCCTTTAACTGTTAAGAAGACAAAATTCTTCGCCTTCATTCCCCCCTACCCCACCACCTTCAATTGTTTTTTAAAAATAAGTTAAAATATGCTTTTGCTCTGCAAACTAATACCTAGCTACCTTTGTCCACAACACGTAGTTTCAGTAGCTTTGGTGGTTAGAACAGGGGATTGGGAGCCAGAGATCTCCCTATGTTCAAATCCTGTCCCTGACAGTTTCTAGTGGGATTATTTTAGGGAAGTTATTTATAGCTCTTAGCCTCAATGTCCTCATCCATAAAATGAGAACTAAAATACTGACTTGCAGGATTGTTAGGAGAATTAAAGCTAATATGTAAAGCATCTGTATTTAAAAATGATGAAATGACAGCAGCCAGCATTTTTTGGGTACTTACAAGGTGCGGGGCACTATTCTAAGCAGTTCACATAGATTACTTCATATAATCCTCATGACAGTCTTATAAAACAAATATTATCATTATCCCCATTTTATAGATGAGAAAACCGAGGCTCCGAAAGGATACATAACTTGCATGCAGCCATACAGTCGAGGATCTAGCATTAGAACCCAGACAGTCTGACACTAGAGTTCAAGTCCTTTACTACAGTTTACAGCTTCCAATGGCAGCTACTGGTCCTGTTTTCGTTTAGACTGAACTCTAGCTTACATAAAATAGATTCTACAAAAAAAAAAAACAAAAAAAAAGGAACACAAGGCTAGAAGTAACACCTGAATAAGGCTAAAGCTAAGGCCTCAGGTGCCTTTAAGGATGTTCTATGAGAAAAAGAGGCTCTGAGCAGGCCTCTTGCCCAAACAAGATATTCAAAGTCTTCGGCAGAAACGTCCCATTACCTTCAGTGACTCATATTCCAGTTCTGCACCTCTGATTGGCGGTCGTTCCTCTTCCTAGGGAAAAACATAAAGTCAAAAACTTTACAAATCAGTAGTTATATTTTAATTGTTACATTTTCACTCTCAATATTTCCTTGCTCTGCAGACAACAGTGAGGGGAGTTTAGCCGTCACTCCTTGAACCAAAGGCTGCTCGGTTGAAGTATTCCTGGGATGAGCGCCCATTAAAGGGGAGACAGCAGAACCGGAGGCTCAGGGCCCGTTTGCCTGCGGCCCCGGGCAGGGGTGGGAGGGGAGGGTTGGAATGGGGGGCGCGTTTCCACGCACCTTTGCCCTGCTGCGAAGCACCTGCTCCTCCTTGCGGTCCAGCTCATCCTGCATCACCTGCTTCTCCTGCTCCAGCTCTGTGACCCTTTTCTGGAGCTTGAGGAACAATGACATGTCCAGAGGCACCTTCTTCTCGCTTGGCTCCTAAACCCCAGAAAAAAATAAGATGATCAAGACGATCCAAAAGATGGCCAAACCAATGAGAAAATGATGAACGGCCCGACAGAAAAATAGGCTAACTTATGGAAGAAATAGAAATGGCCAAAAAATATGCAAATAACACGTACAACCTAGCAGATAAATGCAGACGAGCAAGTGAAACAACAGTGAGGTTTCCTTTTTTACCTCTCACAGTAAGATTAATAATGCCATGTAAGGGTAACAGTGTCTTATATGATATGGGTGGAAGTATATGTAGGTCTTTTAAAAGAGCAAGTTAGCTGTATTTATTAACATCTAAATGTGTGATACCCTTCAACCTAGCAATCTATGTTTAACGCTTAATCCTACAGAAATACTTATACAAGTACACAAAAATATATGGAAAAAAAAGTTCATTGCAGCATTTTTTTGTAATTGCAAAAAACTTGAAAGAACCCGAATATTTGTTAATAGGAGAATTGCTGAAATAAATTATGGTATATCCCACCTATGACATGCTTTACAGCTGTTGAAAAGAATGAAGTAGATCTACACATGGAGATAAATGTGTCCTAGATAAAAATATTAACTGAAATACACAAGTTGCAGGACAGTATTTATATTATGATCTTACATTTTGTTTAAAAAACAAATATACGTGACTTTTAAACGTATCTAGCATATGGCATACAAAAACCTAGAAGGCAATCAATGGTTACTTTGGAGAATGGGGGGTACTACGGGAAAGTTTCATTTTCTACTTTACACATTCTATATTTGAATTCTTTCGTATCAAGAAAACTGATTTTTGAAAAGGTGAAGTGCCAGCATAAATACTTGAGATCAAACAGAGAGAAAAATGAAAAACCAAAACATATATAGCCCTTAATAAACTAAAAGATAACCCAGTAGCATTTTAAAAGTATGTCGATTGGTTCTAAAACAATGAAAACTAATAGGATAAATACAGACACACTAATTAAAGCTAAGCAAATGGAAAGAACTAACCACCATCATGGAAGTTCTGAGAGTGCCATAATTGTTTTACCTCGTATACTTTGGGTTTGAACTTTTTTTTTTTTTT